AAAAACCCCACATAATATATTGATAGTTAGAAAAAATAAACCAATTTCCACTTTAGAAAGCAACATATGATGAAAACCAAAATCATAAAACTCCTCATTTTCTTAAATTCTCCTGCAAAGTCCTCAAAAAAGACCTTATCAGCACTTCAGCTTCAGTTAAGAATATCAACAGAAGTTACTTCAAATGTCCTGAAAATTCTTAATTTCCCAGTTTATTATTTTAATTAAATGGTTGATCTTTGGTAATGTGCAAGAGTACTATAAAACCACTTCCTTTTACTATGTACTAAAGTTAATGCTTGATGTCTGTATTTGGAACACAGAGCTTCCCTGGAGGAAAAGATTGCCTTCGTCCTATTTTCAATGCTAAAGTAAAATGTGTGGTTTTGTTGGGTTATTTAAAAAACAAAGGCAGCTAGGCACAGTGGCTCACCCCTGTAATTCCAGCACTTTGGGAAGCTGAGGTGGGTGGATCACAGGGTCAAGAGATCGAGACCAACCTGGCCAACATAAGTGAAACACGGTCTCTACTAAAAAAATACAAAAATTAGCTGGGCATGGTGGCACGCATCTGTAATCCCAGCTACTTGGGAGGCTGAGGCAGGAGAATCGCTTGAACCTGGGACACGGAGGTTGCAGTGAGCTGAGATCGTGCCACTGCACTCCAGCCTGGCAACAGAGTGAGACTCCGTCTCAAATAATAATAATAATAATAATAAAGGCAAGACTTTAGGCACAGTGGCTCATTCCTGTAATCCCAGCACTTTGGGAGGCCAAGGTGGGCAGACCACCTGAGGTAAGGAGTTCAAGACCCTCCTGGCCAACATGGTGAAACTGTCTCTACTAAAAATACAAAAAATTAACTGGGCATGGTGCCACATGCCTGTAATTCCAGCTACTCAAGAGGCTAAGACAGGAGAAGCACTTGAACCCAGGAGGTGGAGGTTGCAGGGAGCCAAGGTCACGCCACTGAACTCCAGCTTGGGTGACAGAACAAGACTCTGTCAAAAAAAAAAAAAAAAAAAAAAAAAAAAAAAAAAGCAAGACTTTCAGTTGACTATCAAACTTTTCTTTTAAGCTTATGCATAAATCTTAAGAGTTTTAGCATTCCAAATTTAACTCAAAACAAAAGCCTTTGCTTTGAGTCTACAAATGCTCCTTTCAGTTAGAAAAGTGCTAATTTGTCCAAAGTCATACAATGCATTGACTCATTTTCTTGAAGATGACTCACTCAATAATCTGAAACATAATGACTGTTTGTAACAATTCAAAACAACTGTAAAATGGCTTGCCATTTGAACTTTGAATTCAGAGGCATCTGTTATATTCTCTGAATTTATATTTTATAAATGTAAAGCAGCTGAAGATGTATATTTTAGTAAGAAAATATTTAATTGCCAGCTCTGCCTTTGTAACTGCTTCCTTGATGTTATTCCAAGTCTCCATGTAGTTAAAATTATTTTACTATTTAGAGGTTCAAACCAAACTCTAGAAGGTTATCAATGAGAAAACGATAAAGTGATACTAGATCTCTTGAAGGCTTTAGGTTTAGCAAACAAATGTTGAAAGTTATCAGCAAATATTTACTGGGCATCCAGTATGTGCAACTGACTGTTGTTACGGGTTTTAAAAGAGATGTACTTCAAGTGCGATTCCTGGATCAGCAGCATCAGTGTGTTTAAAAACTGGCTTAAAAGTACAAACTATCATCCAGGCATGGTGGCACATGCCTGTAATCCCAGCACTTTGGGAGGCCAAGGCGAGCAGATCACAAGGTCAGGAGATCGAGACTATCCTGCCAGCATGGTGAAACCCCGTCTCTACTAAAAATACACACAAAAAATTAGCTGGGCATGGTGGTGCATGTCTGTAATCCCAGCTACTCGGGAGGCTAAGGCAGGAGAACTACTTGAACCTGGGAGGCAGAGGTTGCAGAGAGGTGAGATCTTGCCACTGCACTCCAGCCTGGTGACAAAGTGAGACAGTCTCAAAAAACAAAACAAAAACAAAAACAAAAAACCCTAAATTATCTCTGCTTCCCCTTTACTAACCAATCTGTGTGTGTGAAGTCTAGTAATCGGTGATTTAACAAAGCTCTCCAGGTGATTTTGATATACTTTAGAGTTTGGGAATCATTGCTTTAGATGACGATGATGATGATGATGGTAGACAGGGATACTGTTGCCCAGACTGAGTGCAGTGGCGTGATCATAGCTCACTACAGCCTTAACCTAGCAGGCTCAGGCCATACTCCCACCTCAGCCCCCCAAGTAGCTGGAACTATTGGGGCATGCAACTACGCCCAGCTAATTTTTTACTTTTTGTAGAGACAGGGTTTTGCCATGTTGCCCAGGCTGGTCTTGAACTCCTGGGCTCAAATGATCCTCCTGCCTTGGCCTCCCAAAGTGCTGGGATTACGAGCATGAGCCACCACACCCCAGCCACTCCAGATTATTAATAGTGTAAGAATTGTATCACTTTATTCCTTTTTAAATAACAATGTTATTATTATTATTTTTTGAGACATAGTCTCGCTCTGTCACCCAGGTTGGAGTGTAATGGTGTGATCTCAGCTCACTGCAACCTTTGCCTCTCAGGTTTAAGGAATTCTGCTGCCTCAGCCTCACAAGTAGCTGGGACTACAGGATGTGTGCCAACATGCTGGCTAATTTTTGTTTTGTTTTGAGGCAGAGTCTTGCCCTGTCACCCAGGCTGTAGTGCAATGGTGTGATCTTGGCTCACGCAACCTCCACCTCCTGGGTTCAAGTGATTCTCCTGCCTCATTCTCCTGAGTAGCTGGGATTATAGGCACATGCCACCATACCCAGCTCATTTTTGTATTTTTAGTAGAGCGGTAGTTTCACCATGTTGGCCAGGCTGGTCTCAAACTCCTGACCTTAGATGATCTGCCTGCCTCAGCCTCCCAAAGTGCTGGGATTACAGGCATGAGCCACTGCACCTGGCCCAAGACTACTATTTAATACTATTATAATATGTGCAATATGGGCTATCTCTCAGCCTCCTAAAGTGTTGGGATTACAAGGGTGAGCCACCTCGCCCAGCCTTAAATCATTATTTAAGAAAGAAATATATAAAGAAACACAGATAAGATTTATATAAATGCATAATGTTACTTTTGGTTAGGATATAAAACATTTAAAAAATTAAAATTAAGAATAAAATAACTATGAAAGGATTCCTTACATTTTTTATATATTCTAACCAAAGGGCTCATCACCACATACCTGGATTACTACAATAACTACCCAGCAGGCTTCCCTGATTTAAAATGACCTTTTCTTCATCTCTAATCTGTATTAGCTTCTGAGGAATCATCCCTAACTACTATAGTTGTCCCATGGCTTTCCTTGGCTCAAAAACCCATAATGTTTCACAACTGCTTATTGAAAAGGGGGAGATACTATCTCTAGTTAGTAAGAGAGCAAGCAGCAAGCTTGTCCAACCCATGGCCCATGGGTCACATGGAGCCCAGGATGGCTTTCAATGTGGCCCAACTCAAATTCATAAACTTTTGAAAACATTGTAAGATATTGTGATTTTTTTTTTCTTTAAGCCAATCAACTATTGTTAGTGTTAGTGTATTTTATGTGTGGCCCAAGACAATTCTTCTTCCAATATGGTCCAGGGAAGCCAGATAATTGGACACCACTGAGAGGGTCAGATGGGAAATATAAATAAGGGAAGTAAGCCACGTGAATATTACATAGGTAGAAATACTTTCCAATTTCCACAAAGAAACATGCTCATCTCAGTTTTGTTTTCCTAGTTTTATTGGAAATACTACTACAACAGTGCAGGAATGATGACAAATGGTGACACTGACTTAAGAAAGCAATAGGAAATGTGAAGATTATGGTAAATTAAGAACCCACGCCAGACATTCACCTAACTTTAAAATTCTGGCTTACATTTTGTTTTAAAAAAACACTGTGATCCAAACAAAATGTCTGGCCTATACACTGCCAGTTTGAGACCTCTAGTTTACAGCACTAAATCCATATTTGCCTGTCTTGTTTTCCGGTCTCTATCTTCCCAATAATAATTCCCATACTTAGACAGCATTTTGCACTATTTACTATGTTTTCATGTCCAGTTGACCCTCTCAATGTGAGAGGTAGTCAGGAGATGAGGAAATGGGCACAGACAGGGTAAAGTAACTTGTCCAGTATCATATGATTAGTAAGTACCTAAGTCCATGTCTCCCAAGTCTGAAGCCAGCATCAGTCCTTGGCCATTTCACTCCTTCCTTATCCTTCCCTATGTGTGTTTTTGCTTGTTAAGTCCTTATCTAGAATAATTTCTTTCTACCAATCCAAATCTCATCATCTTTCAAGAGTCAGCTCAGGCTCCACTGACTACATAAACCTTCCTCATCTAGGTCAAATCCCAGGTTCTTTCTCCATTTTCTGAACTTCAACTGTTATTAGAGTTAATAATTTACAAACTGGTGCTTACCAACAGTCTTAAACCATTAAATTATTTCACAATACTCCACATTAGATTATAACCCCAATTGCACCTTGATTATGGGGACATGCCATTATTCTTTCTTCACATAGTTCCCAGCACTGTATTGGGATGTAAAAATGACTGTTTTTATTTATTTATTTATTTATTTTTTGAGACGGAGTTTCGCTCTTGTTACCCAGGCTGGAGTGCAATGGTGCGATCTCGGCTCACCGCAACCTCTTCCTCCTGGGTTCAGGCAATTCTCCTGCCTCAGCCTCCTGGGTACCTGGGACTACAGGCACGTGCCACCATGCCCAGCTAATTTTTTGTATTTTTAGTAGAGACAGGGTTTCACCATGTTGACCAGGATGGTCTCGATGTCTTGACCTCGTGATCCACCCGCCTCAGCCTCCCAAAGTGCTGGGATTACAAGCTTGAGCCACCGCGCCCGGCCTAAAAATGACTGTTTAATGTTGGCTATCTTAGGCAGTCTTTTGAGGAAGAAAATTATAATGACACCACTAACTTACCAGCCTGATGTTGTCTTCTGGGCGGAGTAGTATGAACATCGCTTGGAGATGCTGTTGGAGATCGCCTGGTGAAATTTACAAACCAAAGAATAATTATTCTCCATTCTAATGTTGACAGAGAGGATTCCTTCTACCGTAGTGACTTTTGTAAAAGAAAGTTCTGATTCATTAAATGACTCTTATTTGACACAGAAATTACATTATTGACTTAAAAAGGAAAGAGAGACTGCTAGACTGCATCTTAATACATTTGCTTTTAGTCTATACTACATTAAAATTTATGTCCGTCCTGTGAAAGGTACACTTGAGACCAGTCTCAGTTTTGTATTATCGTGGATGTTAATGAGAGACCTGTTGGCGAGATCTGTTAGGCAGAGGCAGCACTCACTGGCTGTGTTTTCAGGCCCACTGAAGGTAGCAATGAGGGCACTTTGAAAATGGGTGTAGTAGCGTAGTATTAGAGAAATCATCCATAACTTTTAAAAAGCTAACCATTTTGTCATTCCTATTCCTATAATTATATTCTTTGGTTGCATTTGACCTAAGAAGACTTTTGGATTCTCCCTAGAATAAAGTCAACAGTTTAAAATGATTTTCACATTAGTGCCTGATATTACGAGAGTATATATTAAACATGCTACATAAGGGATATATGATCATGCCACTGCACTCCAGCCTGGTGACAGAGCGAATCCTTATATTTAAAAATAAATAAACAAACATAAGCCAAACAACCCCCGACCCCAAACTAAAAAGGATGGTTTTCACTGCTGGTTTCTGACCAATTAATTTTATTATTGCAGAATCTTTCAATTTTCTTTCCTTTTTTTAATTCTTTTTATTTTTTTTTATTTTTTCAATTTTCAAAATTAAAATGGAAAGTCATTATGTTTGGCCAGATCCATTCTATGACATTTCAAGCCCAGGGACACAATCTGTCTCAGATGCATAAACCCAAGAGAAATGAAAACATATGTCTACCCAAAAAAGTTGTACACACATGTATATACAGCACTATTCATTATAGCCAAAAAAGTGGAAACAATGCAAATGTCTATCAATTGATAAATGGATAAATAAAATGTGCTATTATCCACAAAATATAATATTATTTGGTCATAAAAAGGAATGATGGGCCAGACGCAGTGGCTCAGCCTGTAATCCCAATGCTTTGGGAGGCCAAGGCGGGTGGATCACAAGGTCAGGAGATCAAGACCACCCTGGCTAACACGGTGAAACCCTATCTCTACTAAAAATACAAAAAATTAGCTAGGCATGTTAGCACACACCTGCAGTTCCAGCTACTTGAGAGGCTGAGGCAAAAGAATCACTTGAACCCAGGAGATGGAGGTTTCAGTGAGCCAAGATTATGCCACTGCCCTTCAGCCTGGGTGACAGAGTGAGACTCCGTCTCAAAAAAAAAGAAAAGGAATGATATACTGATACATACTATACCATGAATGACCTGTGAAAACATGCTAAGTAAAAGGAGCCTGTCTCAAAAATCCATTTACAGAACATCAAGAATAGGCAAATCTATAGAGACAGAAAGTAGATTAGTAGTTGCTTAGGGCTGGGAGAGAGGGTGAGGGAAATAGGGAGTGCCTGCTAATGGATATCGGGTTTATTTTTAGGGGGATGAGAACATTCTAAAATTAGTTTGTGGAGATGATTGTTCAACTCTGTGACTATTCTAAAAACCAATGAATGTACACTTTAAATGAGTAAACTGGGTGAATTATATGGTATGTGGATTATATCTCAATAAAGCTGTTAAACAAAAAATAAAAGAACAAGTATGGGCCGGGTGCGGTGGCTCAAGCCTGTAATCCCAGCACTTTGGGAGGCCGAGGTGGGTGGATCATGAGGTCAAGAAATCGAGACCATCCTGGTCAACATGGTGAAACCCCTTCTCTACTAAAAATACAAAAAATTAGCTGGGCATGGTGGTGCGTGCCTGTAATCCAAGCTACTCAGGAGGCTGAGGCAGGAGAATTGCCTGAACCCAGGAGGCGGAGGTTGTGGTGAGCCGAGATTGTGACATTGCACTCCAGCACTCCAGCCTGGGTAACAAGAGTGAAACTCTGTCTCCAAAAAAAAAAAGAACAAGTATGAGGAGACAAAGTGTTGGGTATAAACAATGAAAAGCTACCAGAGTTACAAGTTGCAACTGAGTTAAGCAGCTGAGGCTACTTTTTGTGTTTTTTTTCTCCTGAGATAGGGTCTCCCATCCAGACTGGAGTACAGTGGCACTACCACAGCTCACTACAGCTGGGACCTCCTGGGCTCAAGCAATCCTCCCACCACCTCAGCCTCCAGGGTTGCTGGAACTACAGGTGTGCGCCACAATGCCTGGCTAATTTTTTGTATTTTTTGTAGAGATGGGGTTTCACCATGTTGCCCATGCTGGTCCCGAACTCCTGAGCTCAAGCAATCTGCCCACCTTGGCCTCCCAAAGTGCTGAGATTACAGGCGCGAACCACTATGCCAGGCCTGAGCTTCTTTAAAACTAAGTTTCCTTCTGTCCTACCAGTAGAACTAACCACAGGAAAGGATTTTTAAGATGGAGAACTTCTAGAGGAGAACCCTAAATAGTAGCCCAAAGTCCCCACTCCAAACACTACTGGCCCAAAGATTCAGCTGGCTTATTTGAAGCTCAGACAAAAAAGTCAGAAGTCCTGCTCAAGTAAGGCTTCTTGTGTGAGTTGGAAGCTCAGGTTTGTTAGCTGCGAAAAGTACTGCTCTGAGCAAACTGCATACCATTTCCTACTGAGAAACTGTTTTTCACAGAGTCTAAGAGAAGACAAAATACCGATATACGATATACCATTAAGATCCCTTTCCTGCATTTTCCCACCATATACTTCACTGCTAGGAGCTAAATTTCAGATTTCTATTTGGTTTTATAGACTTTTAATTATTTCCATTTCAAATGCTGGTAGACATTCACTCATAACACCCTTCTTTGATTGCGAAATAGTGCTTGGATACTTTATATGCAGCCCAGTTTAAAAAATTCTAACCAGTTCAAGAAACATGCATAAGGAAGTACAATTAGACATGGTAAGCCCTTGATCTGCTCTCAATTCTGCCATCAACTTTCAGTTACTGTCGGATTAGCCAAGGCAGTTCAGTTTATGTGACAGTCTGGCTTTTGTAAGCTGAGTTTATATTTGCACTGCCTCATCTGTTCTGGTCTGGATCACAAATCAAGTCTATTCAGCTTGTGTTAAATCTGCTTTTCTTTTTAGTATGAGGAAAGCTAAATGAACAATGTTAAGTAGAAGCCTGGGTGGCAGTTGAGTGTAGAAGTTTGAACAAAAAAAATGCCAACCAGTGCCAGAAACTTTAAAAGCCACTGACCCCATTAACTATTACAGGCCATACAGCAATTTGCCCAACATCCTAATCAGACAAGTTGGATTTAATCCAATAATTTATCTTCTTTTTACTGTAAGGGCTAAATATCCACACAGAACAGAAATACAAAGCTTAGCGGGTATACTTCTTCCACACATACAAGTTGTTTGGAGAAGTGTCCTCCCTGACCTGACCTCCGGTACTAGGCACTGAGAAGGAAGGTTTTAGAAAGTGTAATCCAAGCTAATTTCCAAAAGAGGTTATTTCCCCCCTTACTCTAAAAAACTTTCCATGGCTGAAGAGTTCTGGTAGGAGGACACTATTGCCCAAACAAAATGGATTACAATTCCGAGCTGCCACACATGCAACTAGATGAAGGCCCAAACAAGTAGTAGGGCAGCCACTAAAATAGCCAAGATTATATTGACTAAAGCTAAACTCAACTACTAGCTCAATAGGATCCAGTATTTCTGGCTTTCACCTCTTACCAAAACACTTAAACACTTTGTTCCTTTTGTAGTAATTGCAATTTCTTTCACTCCTGGAGGTCACAAGTTGTCAATGTGGCACATTTATGACAACAAGCAATCACCTTTTTGTATACCATTGATCAGGATTAGCGTCCTCAGGCTGACTTTTAATTTTCCCCCCAAAATGACAAATAAGGTCTGCTGGTAGAAGAGAAACATCAGGTTATCTTCTTGAACTCTGGATATCCTATACCTGAGATCTCTCTCCCTAGGACACATTTTCTATAATTCTTTTCAAACCTCATCACCACAGGTGTTCCTGATTTAGAGAATCCAATATAAAAGAACACAATGCTTATACTACTGTTAGTTGATATTTCAAAACCAGAGTCTTATACTCATTCATAGTCTTATACTCACTCATAGGTGAATATTTGATGATTCTTTGTTTCTAGAAGTCTTCTGGGTTAAATTTTCAGTCTTTTAGTGTATATATTCAAGGAGCAAAACACTGGCATGTTACTACGTGACATAATGACTCATTATTACAGCAATGACAATGAGTTTATCTATCATTCTCCTCCTTATATTATCATGAGAGAGCAGAAATAAATCAGAAATTTAGTTTTTGGCTAGTTGAAGTAGCTTTGAATAGGATTCAAGAGAACACCTAAACTTTTTTGTTTTTTGAGATGAAGTTTTGTTCTGTTGCCCAGGCTGGAGTGCGGTGGCGTGATCTCAGCTCACTGCAACCTCTGTCTCTCAGGTTCAAGCGATTCTTCTGCTTCAGCCTCCTGAGTAGCTGGGGCTATAGGCACGCACCACCATGGTTGGCTCACTTTTGTATTTTTAGTAGAGAAGAGATTTTGCCATGTTAGCCAGGCTGATCTTGAATTCCTGACCTTAAGTGATCCACCCACCTTGGCCTCCCAAGGTGCTGAAATTACAGGCATGAGCTACCATGCCTGGCTCTTTTTTCTTTTTGAGACAGGATCTCACTCTGTTACCTAGGCTGGAGTGCAGTGGTGTGAAATGGCAGATGGCTCACTGTAGCCTCAACCTTCTGGGCTCAAGAGATTCTCCCACCTCAGCCTCCCAGGTAGCTGGGACCACAGATGTACATCACCACACTTGGCTAATTTTTTTCTTTTGGAAGCAGAGTCTCGTTCTGTTGCCCAGGTTGCAGTGCAGTGGTGCGATCTTGGCTTACTGTAACCTCTGCCTTCCAGGTTCAAGTGATTCTCCTGCCTCAGCTTCCTGAGCAGCTGGGATTACAGGCGTGTGCCACCACAGCTAGCTAATTTTTGTATTTTTAGTAGAGATGGAGTTTCATCATTCTGGCCAGGCTGGTTTCAAACTTCTGACCTCAGGTGATTGGCCTGCCTTGGCCTCCCAAAATGCTGGGATTACAGGCGTGAGCTACCACTCCAGGCCACACTTGGCTAATTTTTTATTTTTATTTTCTTGTAGAGATGGGATTTAACCATCTTGCCCAGGCCCTCAAAATTCTGGACTCAGGCAATTCTCTTGCCCCAGCCTCCCTAAGTGCTGGGATTATAACTGTGAGCCACTGTGCCCGGCCCACCTGAACATTTTTAACCTGAGCACTCAAAACCTTAACTGAGGGCTGAATGCAGGGGCTCATGCCTATAATCCCAGCACTTTGGATAGCTGAAGTGGGCGGATCACTTCACACCAGGAGTTTGAGAACAGCTGGCCAACACAGTAAAACCCCATCTCTACTAAAAATACAAAAATTAGCTAGGCATAGTGGTACATGCCTAGAGTCCCAGCTACTTGGGAGGCTGAGGCAGGAGAACTGCTTGAATGCAGGAGGCGGAGGTTGCAGTGAGCTGAGATTATGCCACTGCACTCCAGCCTAGGCGACAGAGTGAGGCTCCATCTCAAAAAAAAAAAAAAACTTAGCCCGGCATGGTGGCTCACGTCTGTAATCCCAGCACTTTGGGAGACCAAAGTGGGGAGATCACCTGAGGTCAGGAGTTCGAGGCCAGCCTGGCCAACATGGTGAAACCCTGTCTCTACTAAAAATACAAAAATGAGCTGGTAGTGGTGGCGGACACCTGTAGTCCCAGCTATTCAGGAGGCTGAGGCAGGAGAATTGCTTGAACCTGGGAGGCAGAGGTTGCAGTGAGCCAGGATCAGGCCACTGCACTCCAGCCTTGGCGACAGAGTGAGACTCTGTCTCAAAACAAACAAGCAAACAAACAAACAACATTAACTGAGATGAGAAGTTTCATATAAGTTCATTAGAGTATTTTGTACCTTATTATTATTTGAACAAAAACTTATTAAGCATCTACTGTGTGTATAAGGCTTTTTGCTAAGTGCTAGAAAAATGGTCTCAGAGTATAAACGAAAAGTGATTACAAAACAGTACAATGCTTTCTTTCACCATTAAAGAACTTCTGAAGAGATGTGGATGAGGCAGTCAGCTTTTTAAAATATAACGTAAGATATGGTTACCAAGAAAGAAATAGTGTATATTCAAGCATTACCTGCATGCTTGTTCCGTCTGTGGCTGATTCTTGGTGTGGATGAGCCATTTCCCCGTGGTAGAAAAAGGGCAGCACCTTTGACAGTTAGAAAGCTCTCGCTGATGCTACAAGGAAAACGTCAAAAAAAAAAAAAAAATTACTTAGGAAAGGAAATCAAACAGTAGGATGAAAGGAAATCAAAGAGTAGGATGAAGAACCACTTTAGGATTCTCTCTTCCCTATTCCGAAGTCCCAACTTCACAGAACGAAGTAAAAACATAATCAAGAAAGGCTGTGGTTACTCACAACTCATACGCTCCTGTCTACTCTAGAGAAGTTTTCTTTTCTTTTTTTGAGAGGGAGTCTTGCTCTGTCGCCAGGCTAGAGTGCAGTGGAGTGATCTTGGTTTACTGCAACCTCCGCCTCCTGGGTTCAAGGGATTCTCTTGCCTCAGCCTCCCCAGTAGCTGGGATTACAAGCCCTGCCACCACACCCAGCTAGTTTTTGTAGTTTAGTAGAGATGGGGTTTCACCATGTTTGTCAAGCTGGTCTCGAACTCCTGACCTCAAATGATCCACCTGCCTTGGCCTCCCAAAGAGTTGGGATTATAGGCACGAGCCACCGTGCCTGGCCTCTCGACAAGTTTTCTAAAACAAAATTTACAATATTCTGTTTTGTTTTTTTTTTTCTTTGAGACGGAGTCTCATTCTATCATCCAGGCTGGAGTGCAGTGGTATGATCTTGAACCTCCACCTCCTGGGTTCAAGTAATTCTCCTGCCTCAGAGTCTTGAGTAGCTGGGATTACAAGTGTGAGCCACCATGACCAGCTAATTTTTGTATTTTTAATAGAGACGGGGTTTTACCATATTGGCCAGGATGGTCTCAAACTCCTTACCTCAGATGATCTGCCCTCCTTTGCCTCCCAAAGTGATAGGAGTACAGATGTGAGATACTGCACCTAGCGAAAACTTAGGATATTCTATACATTACATGGCAGCAGTTAAGAGCTGAGGCTCTGGAACCAGAATGGCTGAGTTTGAATCCTGGCTTTACTGCTTCCTACCCGAGTAGGCCTAAATTTCCTTATCTGTAAACAGGGAAAATAAAATTAAGTTGTGAAGAGTCAATGAGAAAAGAGCGTCTTAAAGTGGTGCCTGGCACATAGTAAAAAGCCCTCAATAAATATTAGTTATTATAAGTAGATTAGTAGAAGGTTATCAATAATGATGTTTCAATAGTGTCCTGGTCAGATGTGAAGTATGTTATAATATTTAGCTACTAATAATAGGTCCAAAGTTTGCAAAAAAGATTTATTTTTAAAATATACACCACACTAAAGTGTTAGCTCAAAATTTTACTATTGCCAACTTGCATCCCCATACTCAGTGAAAAGAAGTAATGTACAAGAAGTGTGTATAACCCACTGGGGTTTGTCATTCTCACGATGACAATATAGGTGAAGAATTACTGCTGAGGATAGTAGCTCTTCAAAATACAATTACTGGTCTGGTCACAGTAGTTCATGCCTGTAATCCCAGTGCTTTAGGAGGCCAAGCCAAGAGGACTGCTTGAGGTTTGAAGTTTGAGACTAGACTGGACAACATAGTGAGGCCCCATCTCAAGAAAAATATTTTAAAAATTAGCTGGAAAGGCAACGATCCAAGATGGCTGATCGCTAATATTTCGGGATTGCAGCTCTCAGGGAAAGCGCAGAAAACTAGAGGACACCACACTTTCAGACAAATTCTGGTTGCACACGGAGCAGAAGATCCCCAGTGGAGGAATCACACGGGGCGCCAGTGCGACTCTTGTGGCCGGCGCAGCAGTTTCGCCGGCACCTCGGCGCGGCAGCTCTCGTAGCAGAATAAACAGGGCTGGCTCCCCTTCTGACCGAGGTTTGGAGCCCTGGGAAGGCAGAGTTGCCTATTACAGACACAAGAAGGAAGCCAGACAGGAGAATCCTGGGCAGAAAAGCACCATCAGTCTTAACGCTGCTGTTCTGGCCCTGGGAACTAACAACTTGGACGTCCACTCAAGAGACCTAATCTGAAAGTTGGTAATTTCAAAGATGACAGGAGAATAAATTTACAATGATGGGAAGAAACCAGCGTAAAAAGGCTGAGAATACTCAAAATCAGAACGCCTCTCCCTCTAAAGATGATCACAGTTCCACATCAACAATGAAACAAGGCTTGATGGAGAACGAACGCATCCCAATAACAGAATCACTCTTCAGGGAATGGATAATAAGAAACTTCTGTGAGTTAAAAGAACATGTTGTAGCCCAACGTAAAGAAACTAAGAACTTTGAAAAAAGGTTTGATGAAATCCTATTGAGAATAGACAACTTAGAGAGGAATATAAGTGAATTAATGGAACTGAAGAATACAATACAGGAACTCCGAGAAGTATGCACAGGTTTAAACACTTGAATTGTTCAAGCAGAAGAAAGGATATCAGAGGTCAAAGTCCAACTTAATGAAATAAAACAAGAAGACAAGATTAGAGAAAAAAGGATAAAAAGGAATGAGCAAAATCTCCAAGAAATGTGGGACTATGTGAAAAGACCAAATTTACGTTTGCTAGGTGTACCTGAATGCGATGGAGAGAATGAATCCAAGCTGGAAAATACCCTTCAGGATATTATTCAGGAAAATTTTCCTAAACTAGAAAAGCAGGTCAATATTCAACCCCAGGTAATACAGAGAACACCACAAAGATATTCCTCAAGAAGAGCAACTCCAAGGCACATAATCATTAGATTCACCAGGGTTGAAATGAAGGAGAAAATACTAAGGGCAGCCAGAGAGAAAGGTCAGGTTACCCACAAAGGCAAGCCTATCAGACTTACAGCAGATCTCTCAGCAGAAACTCTACAAGCCAGAAGAGAGTGGGGGCCAATATTCAACATCCTCAAAGAACAGAACCTTCAGCCCAGAATTTCATATCCAGCCAAACTAAGCTTCACAACTGAAGGAAAAATAAAATCTTTTATGAACAAGCAAGAACTCAGAGATTTTATTACCACCAGGCCTGCTTTACAAGAGCTTCTGAAAGAAGCATTACACACAGAAAGAAACAACCAGTATTAGCCTTTCTAAAAATATACCAAAAAGTAAAGAGCACCAACATAAAGAAGAATTTACATCAACGAATGGATAAAACAGCCAGTTAACATCAAATGGCAGTAACCCTAAATTTAAATCGACTAAATCCCCCAATCAAAAGACACAGCCAAAACCCAACGGCATGTTACATCCAGACCTGTTTCACATGCAAGGATACACAAAGACTCAAAACAAAGGGATGGAGAAAGATTTACCAACCAAATGGAGAGCAAAAATAAATAAATAAATAAAAAGCAGGAGTTGCAATTCTCGTATCGGATAAAATAGATTTTAAAGCAACAAAGATATAGTGGTAAAAGGATCAATGCAACAACAAGAGCTAGCGATCCTAACACCCAGATACATAGAGACTTAGACTCAATAAGACAGAAAATTAATAAGGATATCAAGGACTCGAACTCAGATCTGGAACAAGTAAACTTAATAAATATTTATAGAGCTCTCCACTTCAAATACACAAAATATACATTCTTGTCAATACCACATCACACCTACTCATAGATTTAAATGAAACACTGATTGGCCATTATTAATACCCATTTTTTTTTCAGAATAAAGCAATATTTCTGTTCACCCTCCCTCTTTCTCTTCCTCTTTCTTCCTCTCCATTACTCATTTTTTTTTCTTTCCTTCTCTCAAAAAAATAAATAAATAAAATAAAATAAAATAAAAATTAGCTGGGTGTGGTATCACACACCTGTAGTCCTAGCTATTCAGGAGGGTGAGGTGGGAGGATCCCTTGAACCTAGGAGTTTGAGATTATAGTAAGTTATGATGGCACCATTGTACTCCAGCTGGGGTGACAGAGCAAACCTCTGTCTCTTTAAAAAAAAAAAGGCCAGGCACAGTGGCTCACACTTGTAATCCCAGCACTTTGGGAGGCCGACGTGGGCTGATCACAAGATCAGGAGATCGAGACCATCCTGGCTAAGATGGTGAAACCCCATCTCTACTAAAAATACAAAAAATTAGCCTGGTGTGGTGGCATGCACCTGCAGTCTCAGCTACTTGGGAGGCCGAGGCAGGAGAATCCCCTGAACCTGGGAGGCGGAGGTTGTAGTGAGCCAAGATTGCACCACTGCACTCCAGCTTGGCGACAGTGTGAGACTCCATCTCAAAAAAAAAAAAAAAAAAAAAAAAGACCAACACAAAAATGAGTGGATATCCACAAACAACCAGAAAATAAATCTAAATTATTCCTTATCAATAGACTAAATAAGTCTTTCAAGTTACCCATCAAGGTTCTCACAGAATCTAAAAGAACAGAACTTAAGTCACAAATGGCCAAGTTTAGAAATACATAACAGAGGATTCCAAATTGCTTGTGAGTACAGTACTGCTATTAAAGGTTATAACGGATTGTAAATGACATTGTCTACTCAATATTTCCACTCAGAAATCTAATTGGCATGCTAAATTCATGTTGCCAAAACTAAATTCTTGAGCTCCTCTACCCTCAAGTCAATCTCTAGCCTCATTCTCCAGCCTTATTCTCCCAGTTGTTTAGGCAAAACACTTAATAGTCTTTCTTAGTGTCTTTCCTTCCTATAATATATATCTAATCCATTAGCAAATCCTGTGAGCTTTACTTTCAAATACATCTTGAATCTGCCCACTTATCCCTATCACCACTATCACATTGGTCCATGGCACTATAATTCCTTACTTGGACCACTATTTAAAAAGTTTTTCTTAAAAAAGCTTTTTATTACAGAAAATTTCAAACATATACAAAAGTAGAGGAAATACTATAATAAACCTCTATGTTCCCATCATATTTGAGCTTTGATTTGTGGCAAATTTTGTTTCTTTTGTATATCCTCACCCATTCTACCTTGCCCCCGACAGTGAAACAAACCCCAGGCGCTGTATCAGCAAAAAACTTAACAGGTCTATCTGCAATCACTTCTGCCCTCCATTACCTACTCACCAAAGAGCAACTAGAGTGACTTAAAAAACATATAGATCGGTCGGGCGCGGTGGCTCACGCCTGTAA